AACACTTAAAGATAGACTATATGTCGAAAAGTTAAAGTTGTTTTATGTAAAACTTTTTATACGCGAAAATCAGTGATATAGTAAAAAAGTATCAAAGTACTCTTCTTTTCATGTTTTTTTCTCTCAAACGGACAATATATTGTACTTGGGAAAATATGTAAAAATATTCTTTTAAGACTTGCGACTTTTGGTACTTAGTCTTCAAATTGTCCAAAAAAATGTGCCATCGATATGCGATATGATAAATAGTATATAAAAATAAATCTGGATTGCGTAAAATAATTATATGAACAATCGGTGTCGAAATTAATGTCAGGTTTTGCTCGATATAAAATTTATTTATCGATAAAATTAAATATACGGGAGTATTGTGGAGAATTTGTGCTCGGGTTTACATATAATTCATATAAACAAATCGCGTTTTTCGTTTTTGCGGCACGATTTTGGTGTTCTAATTGATATAAATATATCCAGATGACAACGACGGACTTCCTTCTGCCAGTGCCAAACAGAAATTCCGGTGTGTCATCCGGGGAAGGTCCAGTACGTGTCTCACAGTTCTCTAATTGAATCTGTGTTAAAATGTAACATCAAGACCATCGCGGATAAATCATTCATCTTTTACGAAATGCATCTATAGCTATCGTTACGATCCATTATATATTTTTATATGCTATGTTTTTGCGCGTTGAATTTACATAAATTAATAATTATAAAATTCTTTTATAATGTATATTGTCGCATTGAACTCTGATATGTCGATTATGCAATCTCCAGCTTCGCCTTGTTTTTATTTTTTTACATCGTATATAATATATCAGCTGTTTCTAATAATATTGTTTGAACTTTTGAATTATTTCTATATCTATTAATATCACAAATTTGTTCTTATTTTTCAGAAGGCCGACGCAATGTCGAAGTAAACAACGGTTGGACGTCCCGAGAGGGTAAATGTGCCGCGCGGTGGATATTCAAACTCCAGGATGACCAGCGAGCATCCGTCGACGAGTGCGGCAAAAGGTAGGAGTACAGATGTATTTACATAGATAGAAGGTAGAAAAACTTTTAATTATTTGCGGTATGTTGCTTAATCACCGGAATGAAATCTAATGACTCTATAGAGCGATGAAACAATGCGAAAAAATAGAACCGTTTTGTCTCTCTTTCTCTCTCCATTTATTATTTGTTGGATAATTATATGGTTGAATTGAAAAGATATTTATTGGTTGGAAATTTGATGGTTCTCACCATCAAAGTCTATATCAACTGATGATTGCAATCGTGAATCGTCAGGAAATATAATTTCCGCATTACATTATGCGAAAATTGGAATATCGCGGTTTCGTGTCAAATCTCAATTCATATTTGAAGTCTGATTAATGTTGTAACTCGTGAAAAAAGTAATTTAATAAAATTGATAAAATAATAAGATTAAAACAAAAAATTAAAGTTTTAATGGAAAATATATTTCATTTCCGATAAGTTCAATTCACAATACTGTAAACGTTGCAAGAATCGTTATATTTATGTGTTAAAATCATTATATAGCATATAACGTGTAATTTTCTGTATTTAAAGCATCGAGCTCATTAAAATTATATCATTTTTTTTATTTCTATGAAATATAAATAATTTTTATGATTGCACGGCACTCGGATGAAATGAAATGCAAAATGTATGTATGTAAAAAGATTACATAAAAAAAAGTGTTTTTGTCGTTATTTATACGAAAACACGCACTTTACGAGATTCGCATAATCGGTCATAATTTTCGCATCTATCAACTGCGCATTGAATAATCATTTTTTTATTGTACATGCTTTTTCAATTGACGGAGAAGGATAACACGCGCGGAAACATTTCGGAAAATGTGGCCGACAGAAAAATGCCTCGCGGCGAATTGAATTGTGTGCGCAATATTTTCGCCAATATTTTTCAAAGCCTGGTTCCATTTCGTCTGTGAAATTTTTGAGTGACGCACATTGGCGACAATTTCAATTTAAAAAGATTGTAACCGATGCACATCATGCACCATGCGATAGAGAGGACACATGTCATAAAAGTATGAAATCGTTTTTTATAATAATAACTGTGCCTATAGCGTACTACGAACGAGAGAATAAATGTCCCGAACGCGCGAATAACAGACTGAATTTGATATAAATTAAACGCGATTAAGATCGGTTAAATGAGATGATTAAATAAAACATTGAATCAACACGGATAAAGGAACAAAATATTGCGCGAATCGCGTAGACACGCGTCTGTCCGTTTGTGCCAGGAATTCCGGAATGCCGCTTACATAGCGCGAATTCCTGACAGTCGCTCCGAAATGCACGATTCGACCACTATATAGTGTTGGCGACAACGACAACGATGATACGTTTCATATACTGAAATGCAATGCGACGTAATGCATAACGTTCATATTTGTAACGTCCGGATAACTTGCAGTGTCAAATTATCGCAAAAGCGCGCAAGATATATTTACTCGGAATTTTTAAGCTTTAAATAAAAGATTTTTATTTAAAAAAATGTCACCCAAAATATACATAACTATTAGATAATAAAATGTAATATTGCATATATTTAAACAATATATATACTATAATTTAATAACGTTCATAAATCTCTACACAGAAAATTTTCTCTTGGAATTTATCCTGAAAATCATGGTAATCGTGGGACAATATGGTATTGGAAGAATTTTGTAAGAGTTTTTCTGATTAATATTTACCACAATAAAAATATTAAGATCTACCACAATAAGATATAAAATATATTAATATTTTTTATTGTGGTAAATATTAATCAGAGAAACTCTTATAAAATTCTTCCAATACCCTATTATTCTACGATTACCATGATTTTCAGCATAAATTCTAAGGTAAAATTCTCTCCGCGTGTACATATACATATATATTAAATTTATTTATTAACATTCACCAATTTATTAAATTATTAAATGGCAATATTTCTAATGGCTTTCTACTCTTTTTTTAAGTTGAACATTTTTATTGAGATGTTTTTTTTTTTTAATATAAAAAATCGCAAAATAAATTTTTGTTTCCGAATATCGTATAATCAGGCTGAGCACTTTATTGGAATATTGTTTGATACGGCCAAGATTATAACATTAATATTCTAATCTACAATGAAATAATAATTAATATTATTGTCGGATACGGACGGTATCAGCGTATTCACATGAGAATGGCGCGTTTGTTGCTTAATTTTGCATGCACGCGGTTATTCCGTGCCATGCCGCGTGTATGTACATATACGCTCGGCATTATATTAATAGAGAACATGTACTTTCGCCGCGCCGCGATGACCCATGCAACGTGATGGGACACAGCGACGTATACAACGTTATCGCGGCCCGAGAGAGATGCACGCAAAGACAAATTGGGGACAATCTTAATTATCTAAATGTATTATAAAAGACATGTGGTTTAAATGACGTCAAAGCTTTTTTGGGGAAATTCTGTTAATATCGACGTACAAGATATCGTAAGACCATCCAAAGATTACGTACGATGTCTTGCGATTATGTAAATTTGAAGAAACACACACTTTCTTGCAAGTTTTTTCAACAAAATTTGGTGGGGCAAAATTTTTTTAATTATGAAAATAATATGAAAATCGCGAATTATTTTACCTAGCAATTTCACAAAAGATATGGTTCCCTGAACCATTAAATTACAAAAAATGATTACACACAATTTACAAGTTAAATTAAAAACTATGGACATGTATAGACAATCGGATAAAATGTGTTACAGAAACTTAATCAATTACACATTTATTGTTGTTAATGATGTAAATAAAAATTCTACAAATTATAGATAAATAGAATTTTGTACCTAATCCAATGATTTATTATCCCATACTGTTACTATGCAGAAAACTCAATGTCAAATTTGTTACGAAATTGTTGCTGGAATATTATTCAATGGTTTAAATGATATAATGTTTAACGAGAAAGAGAGAGAGAAAGAGAGGAACGCAAAACGTCCATCATTCCGCGCCTCGGATGATACGAGCGTGATGCAATGTCATTTGCGAGGATCAGCAACGTCGACGCTCATCCGTAATTTTATGCACACGGACGCATTAAATAACACAGCCGGTCAGGCTAATGAAGCGCGCAGCGAGGAGATGAGGTGAGTTTGCACATATCGAGTGCGCTACTATTTTTAGCCAACGCCATATTGCGTTATACGTTTCGTAACCACTGCCGATACTGGGTGCTCGATCGCATCAACTAGATCGTCGGTGTGTGAGAGATGCGTTCTATTTACTAAGCATATGCTTTGCAGTATTTTTATTATTCGCATTATAATAGCGACAAACATAAATAAAATGATGAATTGCTAAAGCGATGCAAACTCTTACTATTTTGCATCGTTTTAGCAATGCAAACCTTATATTCATCATCTTATGAAATTCTTACAAATATTATTAATAAATTCTAGATTCGAAATAGAATTTTTATCATATTTAAGAATAAACCACGGAAATGTTTAAGTACACTTATTATGTCATTAGATAATATGTATTATTTGTTGCAATGCTCATAATACTTATTATATATATAAACTCATACTCATATTTTATAATATATTTCGAAACCGTTCCAAGCAATTTTTTTTCGTAAAAATTAAGAGATTTTGATTTTTATAGTAAGTTTAACAAATATTATTTTTAAATATCATACGCATTAATTGTACAGTACGCATTTATTTATATTAATATTTTGGATTTACATTCTTCTTTCTTTTTTTTTCTTTTGAAATTCTTAGCGACATATCGATTTTTATTTATTCAATTAAGTAATATTCGGCATAATTGTTCTCACTTATTTTTAGTCTAAAAATGCTTATGATACTTATAAATTCATACGTATAATTTTTATAATATATAAGTATTCTGAAATTGTTTCAATTTTTTCCTCATAAAATTGGGCGATTTTTATTTTTATGAAAAGTTTAAGAAATATTATTTTGAAATATTGAGTACACTAAATACAATACGCATTTATTTATATCATTTTGATCTTACACTCTTCTCTCTCTCGAGATCTCCAACATTGATTTTTATTTCTCCAATTAAGAAACGACATAGGATATCATCCGACACAATTATCCTCATTAAACGTGTGATATATTTTAAATCTAAATTTCATTCTTTTTTCGATCGAGCTATCGATCCCAACGCACAAAATAAATAATATATGCATATACAATCGGGAAAGAGGAGGAGATCGTTCAACTCGAGCTGCGTCTCTCCCAGCGTGGTTCCGACGATCTCGAAGCACGTGTTGCAACTGCTCTTTCGATTAATCGCCCGGCATCAATGAGCACCGAATCGCGTCTCCTCTCCGTGACCTTCGACACTCGCGTTCGCGTAGGACGTTCGAACTTGACTTTGGTGGAGCTCCGTGTCCCGTTGATTTTGGCAGGCATCGTATGTTACCCTCTTTTCTTCGTCCCGTCGATTCCGCTTGACGATTCCCCCGATGCATCGCACACTAAATCATTTCGATCGAGCGCGTGAATGATATATACGTCATCGTTTACGTAGTGCTCTCGGTTTGCGAAACCTCGCAATGAGTGCCCGAGATTTGAAACTTCGTGACAGATAATACAATCTATCTACGTAATGCATGATTGTTAAAATAAATAATAATTGTCGATGAATCATGCAGCTTGATACTCTCGATGACATCTCTGGTTATTATTTTTACTATTGATATGTAATTTTTTTGTCTCGAGGTAATTTGCATAAGCTTGTATATCAAACTCGAGATTATTGGTTTTTTTTTTTTATTCTTTTTTTCTCAAATTGATTTTTTATAAATAAACATAATTGGGATAATCAAGTTTACGTACGATTTACACTCAGTATACATTCGAACGAATCAGTCGCCCATTGATCGAATGCTATCGACTAGGTAGGAGGATCTTGAAAGAGTCCGAGGTGACGGAAAAACAGAAATAACTCGAAGCAAATATTACCGGGCCAGGATAATAATATGAATGAAATACTGGCAGTCTGTCGGTTAGGTAAGAAGCTGATGATGTTTCTCTCGAAGCCAGCTCACGCGTTTTCCTTCTCTTTTTCTGCCCCGTTCCTTCTGTTTCTGAGGAAGGAGGAGCGGACGATCATACATCTCTTTTCTCGAAATTGGAGGACGCTACCTGAACTCTTCTGGTCTATCTACACATGAATGAAGAGAGAACGTCCTGGCACTGATGTCCGTGGACCGGTTAAGGTAACGCGGACATTCAATCCGTGAATGATCGCGACGAGAGAGACTTTGCTTTTGACTAAAATGCTGCAGATATCTCTATACACAAAAACATTTGAATATATTATTTTTTTTTTACAAATATAATACGAGAGAAGACTAGAAAATTTGTTTTTTAAGTACATCCATTTTTACACTTTTGTCAAATGTGTAATACGCGAATAAAAAATTTTAATAATTTTTGACACTTGGTGGGATGTTACTAATGCAAATTTATAGTAATTCCATATCTTACTCTTCCTCTGCTGCAGATATCTCTATACACAAAAACATTCGAATATATTATTTTTTTTTTACAAATATAATACGAGAGAAGACTAGAAAATTTGTTTTTTAAGTACATCCATTTTTACACTTTTGTCAAATTTGTAATACGCGAATAAAAAATTTTAATAATTTTTGACACTTGGTGGGATGTTACTAATGCAAATTTATAGTAATTCCATATCTTACTCTTCCTCTGCTGCAGAGGATCTCTATACACAAAAACATTCAAATATATTATTTTTTTTTTACAAATATAATACGAGAGAAGACTAGAAAATTTGTTTTTTTAAGTACATCCATTTTTACACTTTTGTCAAATTTGTAATACGCGAATAAAAAATTTTAATAATTTTTGACACTTGGTGGGATGTTATTGCTGGTGCAAATTTATAGTAATTCCATATCTTACTCTTCCTCTGCTGCAGATATCTCTATACACAAAAACAGTCGATATATTATTTTTTTTTTACAAATATAATACGAGAGAAGACTAGAAAATTTGTTTTTTAAGTACATCCATTTTTACACTTTTGTCAAATTTGTAATACGCGAATAAAAAATTTTAATAATTTTTGACACTTGGTGGGATGTTATTGCTGGTGCAAATTTATAGTAATTCCATATCTTACTCTTCCTCTGCTGCAGATATCTCTATACACAAAAACAGTCGAATATATTATTTTTTTTTTACAAATATAATACGAGAGAAGACTAGAAAATTTGTTTTTTAAGTACATCCATTTTTACACTTTTGTCAAATTTGTAATACGCGAATAAAAAATTTTAATAATTTTTGACACTTGGTGGGATGTTATTGCTGGTGCAAATTTATAGTAATTCCATATCTTACTCTTCCTCCCGAGGACGAGAAGGGGTAATCTAGGAGGTTTATACCTGGTGACGATAACGATTATTACGACACCAACAAGACCTCCCACAGATCGAGCTGTCGCTGACAGAAATATATTGTTTGTCCGACCGCGAGATATGCGGGAGACGTTTACGACTATTATTAATTGGAAGTGTTGTGCCAAGTTGCCGAAATAAACACTGCTCGGCTATCTCTCTCTCTCGTTGTGCTTTCGCACACGGCGTTAAACATGGCGATAACGATTTTATTATGCAAAATCGTGCGGCGGATCTTCTATTCCGGAGACGAACGATGGCATCGTTTGAAAATAGTCTAATTGATATACGAGTTTGTTCTTTTACTCTTTTTTTAATCTGACCTGACTGGTATTAAAATCTCGACCGGTTTTGAAAATATTTCATTGAAATTAATTAATACATTGCCAGTAGAGTTTTTTTTAGATGTTAACATCTCATTAAAATTTATACTATTCGCAAATTAAAATAGCTCATCTTTTTTAATGTAAACAGATCACGTGTATAATGTTTCTATTTATGAAGAGTTGGAGATGCAAATAGTTGATGATATTTCAAGTATAAACGTGTAAGCATCAATAAAATGTCAGCATCTATTTGAGGATAAGATTTTAAAAAAGGTTAACTCTTTTAACTCAAAATAAAATAATGTATTATATAATCCATTCAATAAATTATAAAAGAATATTAAAAACATATAAAATAAAAAATGATTTACAGAATAACGTGGAGCCTTTTTCGCGAAAGGTAAAAAATGCGCAGTAAAAGCTCTCCTGTAGAAACTTTATAAATTTTTGAATCGCGCAAGAATACCGAAGACTTTATAAACTATTTGACACGGTACATCATGCAACAGTCATTTTCTAATCTTTCTAGCAAAAAGTTTGCCGGAACGAAGAAGTGTTCTTACGCTTCTTTCTCCGTGCGTCGACGAAAGAACTGCGCGAGTTATCCTTTTATTACATCGTTCGATGTACATGTCCGAGCAGGAGGGTTCGATCCGAATAAACGGCTGGAAACGAGACTTTAATGGTTTCCACTCTGCTCTGACCGCGACTCGCTCTCCTAGCCTATTAAGGGGTTAGGCCACTGTAGAGCGCCCAAAAAAGGCCTATTTTTGATAATTTTTTACTATAAAACAAAAACAGTGATAGAAAATCCTTTTTAAGTACTTAATCTTACATACTTCGAAATATATAAAAAAAATTTTTTTGCATTTTTTTTTTACAAAATGGCGGTGACAGAGCTCTGCAACGATGACCACTCGTTTCGGACAGTGCCTTACGGGCGACCTACTAGCTGCTCCAATTTTTGCTGTAGAACAAAAAACCAAATTTTTTTAATTCTTTATATCATTAGCTAGCGAACTACGTACGGAAATTAAAAAATAATTGTTTTTGTAAAAATGACACAAGTTTGAAGAAAAAGTTTCATTTTTTGACGAAAAATTTTGCACAAAATTGTTTGTAAAAAAAAAAGTTTACAACGGAACGTAAAATCCGTACGTAGTTCGCTGACAAATGTATCTTAGAAGCTACAGTTTAAATTTGAAGTAAATCGGTCAAGATTTGTGGGAGTTATGAGGTCGCCCAGTTTGAAAAAAGTGATTTCGAGAAAAACGCGTTTAAAGTTTTATGTAACTTCCAAAAATGACACTTAGGAATTTGTTTCCGTTATAAAACCTTTTTTTTCTTATTTCTAAGATCTTAAAGCATCATTTAAGCAAAAAAAAAAAAAAACGATTTTTTGAAATTTCTACAGTGGCCTAACCCCTTAAACTAACTATGTAGACCAACTCGCATCAACCGTAAAATACCGGCTTGCCGATACGTACGAAAGTAAACGTGATAGGTAAAGAAAAAAAAGAACGAAAAATGGCGAAGATGGAGAATGTTGAGAGTGAAATCGAGAGGATAGCGTGATCTTCTATTTTAACGAACGGTCTATGTTGACGCGCGGAAATGAGAGACGGCCGGATAATCGGCCGTGATTTCTTCAAATTGTAGCGCTCGTAAACTCCTAAGTGTCGACGAAGGTGTGATTGAAAGTGCCAAGATTTTCTTCGATCGTAGCTGACAACGCGACGTCCCGGAAGACTCATTTAAGATCGTTAAGTACACGCTCGGGCTAAATTTAACCGACAAGTAAATTCCCGAGAACAAGACTTGGAATTATTCGCGATAGAAACTTGTTTAGTCCAAGTGTTTTGTCATATCTAAAAGAAAAATAACTAATAGAGGTAAAATAGGGAGAGAAAGAGAGAGAGAGAATACGAAGATGCAATTTTTGTTGCATTTATTTTAAATGTATGCGTTGTCCTCTTTAATAAAACTTATTATATAATAAGATATTAGATATATATAATATATTTACTACGGAATAAATTTAGGAAACGTGTACGATTCACAAAAAAAAATATTGCGATGATTTAAAGTCTTTGAAATTTAAGATCGATTCTGCGCGCGATAATTACATAAATAATTTTTCTAGCGATCGGCAAAGAGTTCCTCGCATACTCATCCGCATTTCTCAGATTCCACAATAAGATATAAATAAACATTTAATGATTAAACGTGATCCACGTGCCAGTCCTTGAGAATTACGATAAATATGACTTTGCCCCTCGATGAATTTACGCGATCGCTATTTGTCGGAAGACTATTTTAATTGGAGATTTAGCAGAATCTACTCTCTCGAAGCGTTTTGAAGCGGGGATATATACGCGTGCTTCGACGTTTTCGCGAGCGTATTTTCATCGCGGCCGCAACCATATGGCCATATTACCGAAAGTGCGAGGCTATTTCCGACCGGGATTCACTATTCTGAGAGCTCGACGTAAGCCCTCTCCGGGTTTGAGGTTTGTTGGGGGGTCGTTTGGCAAACTCGCGCGAAATACCGCGAAATTTCGCAAAACAAGCATCTCTCTTTAGATAACGATGGGCGACGCGTCCGCGTGACGTCAATACGGAGGTTTCATTCAAAAGCAGATCCGTCTTTCGCGTCCACGTGTATTTCGCGCGCATTTCGATATATTTATATGAATCCCCGATGAGAGAAACACCTTCGTTTCCGCGAGTTTGCTTACAGCCGACCTTTATACGTAAGTAATCATTCTGTGAAAAGAAAAGCACTCTTTCTCGATGATATAAAATATTCAAGGATATTTCAATTTCTTTAATTAAATGCTTCTATTTCTTTAATTAAACGTAAATAAATTAGTGTTTGATATTTTTTAAATTTTATAATATTATAATGAAATTTTATAATATTTATAATATTATAAATATTAAAAAAAAATATTATGTCACAAATTATGAAAATATTCGCTATAATAATATAAAATATTCGATATAATAATATGAAAAACATGAACAACATTTTTAACACTTTTATCTTTATTTTAAAGCCGAAGATATAAAGTGCTTTTTATATGATATTATGATACTTAAAATGTTTCGGAAAAATCGTTGTTTTGAACATTTCACATCTCTTCCTTCGATGGGTTGAGTTGTTTTCGTCGATACTTGAAAACATAACTTTAACTATACTGTTGATTCACACGCTTTCGCAGCTCTTTCGCTATTACATCTTTTTCGAGCAGTGTTATTTTGACATTCCTCTTTCGTACCGTTTTTCGTTGACTGTGTATTTTACTCATTTAAAAACAGATCTCCCATCTCTCTTGAAATAAACGCGACGCGTAGTAAGTTACACATGTCTGGATTAGCGTGTTGCGCGCCAAAATTGTTTTCCCGTAAGAATAAACCACGATCCATACATGTGTTGATTGAAAACACGTTATTTTTATTGCATCTATACGACACGATCAATATGCAAATCGCTCGATTTAAAAGAGAGAAAATTTCACACATTGAAAATAAATTTGTTAACTTTACCTTTCAACTAAATTACTATTTTATTAATTGAACATATATTAGTATTTAAGTCAAATATACATTTTGTTAATATATTTAATTTACATTTTTTTATACGTTTAACAAAATAATCTTTAGTTGAAAGATTTGATCAAATTAACAATTTTTTTTCAAGGTGTATGTGCATTATTTTGATCCTTTCCAAAATTAGATTATCAATAGTGATTTCTTTGTACCAGATATACATATATATATATATATATTTATACATCAGAATCGTGATATGTGATTTTATTAATTGAACATATATTAGTATTTAAGTCAAATATACATTTTGTTGATATATTTAATTTACATTTTTTTATACGTTTAACAAAATAATCTTTAGTTGAAAGATTTGGTCAAAATAACCATTTTTTTCACAGTGTATGTGCATTATTTTGATCCTTCCCAAAATTAGATTATCAATAGTGATTCCCTTGTACGAGGTATACATATATATAAATAACATCGAATTACCTCTATAATTGGTTTTCGCTAAATCTGACATGTTATTTAATCTTCTTCTCGGCATCTTTTGCTATACATAAAAGAACGTTTATGTTAATTTCATTCGACGCGAATTGACTGCAAATGGAGGAATTATTATCCGGGCCCCGATAATATCGAGCTTTCATCTTCGACCGATGTATATTTACGCGGACAAGTTATTCTTGTCGAAATTGCGCCAGCTTATGTCACGTCGATATACAAACGAGAATTCCCAGAGGATCGATGATACTCGGAGATATGTCCTCGGGTGTATACGCGGCTATTTTTCGAAAGATGCATTCAAAAAGCCCAGGTCCCGCCCTGAGTCGGATATAATCTCAACATCTCTTGGCACGTCTTGGCGACGTCAATGCGGAGGTTTCATTCATCGTTCCGTATATTTTCGATTCGTCCTGTCTTCCTCGCGTCATCTTCGTCGTTCTCCTTCACCCGCGGGCCTCACTTGTTGCTGCACTGACGCATCATCTCCTATATATAGACCTTGTCGAAGCGCCCGATATTATTTTCGACATTCTATTTTGCTGCCGTCGATCATAGGCGATCGAGAGGCGCGCAACCTACGAGAGAGAAAAAAAGAGATGTGCGGTTATATACGGGCTAAAAATAGCCGGTGAGGTGAGGCGTCGCGGGTAGGCGCGAGATTTTATTACGGGACGAGATAGATGGATTCGCAAACCGACCACCGGTCATTCCGGAGTTAACGACTCGTGTGAGAGACGACGTTAATGTTTGTTGCACGCGCGCGAGCGCGAGCTCCTATTTTTAGACGACCCGATCGGGCAACTATACGGGCATCGTCAAGGCCGCGCATTGCGAAATGCGATTATCGACTATGGCAGCCTTACGGCAGCGAGAGTCGAGTCGGATCATCCGTGCGATCGTTCTTTGTGTGACGTCGCGACTTTTGCACGTGTACCATTCCGCGTGCATCGGTCCGCGCGACTTCAAACGCGTACAGGATTCGCCCGAAGCCGTTCGTGTCTATTTATAAACCGCATTTTTATATACAACACGTATATAGGTATATATATATCCTGATGCAACTTTGTTGAATCCACACGCGGGCGTGTGCTCGGTTCTAAATAAGGATTACGGTTCGTACTACCATCGTATTCAAGTCGAGCTCAAATTTACTTCGATTCTACACTGTCAAATTAAATTTAACGCTACCTCTTGAAATCGAATTTGCTATTTAAAAAAAAAAAATTTATTGAACAATTTAACTTATCACGCCTTTTTTATACGTCAAATTTAAACTTGTAATTGAAATAAACATTTATTTTTATCGATGGTTTTTATTTGATATACACTTAGATATTTTTATTTTTTACAGGAGTTTATAAAGAATTTTTAGTATTTACAATTAATCGTATTTACTAATTATATGTACACAAACATCGGTTATATTACTGAAGAGATGGTTTAAATCTATGTTTACTTTTTTGATTACGTATATTTTATTACTCTTTATTACGCAAATATTCGATCAACTTGAATTTGAGAAGAACCTAATATTATATCGTTATTAATTAAGTTTAAATTTTTATCTATCCTAATAAATTACGATCGAAACGGTTTTACTTACCTATTTTTTCTCAACTTGGTGCATAATTCTCATTTAAATGTCTTAATATTTTTCCTTGGGTACGTATGCGATTTGTCTGCTCCTTAATATCGACCAGTTGAATCTCATGTAATGACCAATACAAGCCCATAATATAAAGCCGACTCCCACTACTTTGATGAACATTTGTTTACGTGCGTCAAAATTTTGCGAGGATGTCCAGCTTAAAAATTCAACTAGATCTTTCGCCATTTGCGACGTCGTCGCCGGAGTTCCGTCATCATATTCCACCGCTCCTTCGATTAGCATCTAAACATGATTTTATGTTATAATGTAACTATCGAAGAGCATTAGAGCGCATGATTAAAACTCCATTAACTTAGAAAATTAATTATTAAAATATTAATAATGTATGTAAATGCTATACTATCTTTCTCGATAAGACAGAATCCTTTATATAATAATTACATTTGGCATTATCCCAAATTTATGACGGGAATAATTTGGGAGACCTTTATTGTATCTGTCAAACATGACATTTTATATCACGCGTATATTAAATAAGGTTATATCACATTTTGCTTTATTTACTTATTTCGTCGTTATCTATATATATATATATATATTCAACTATTTCTTTCTCTCTGGTTGATCCGATCTTTTTTAGCAAAAGAAAATATTCTGACAATGAGTTATTAAAATTTAAAGATTTTCAAATATTAAAATTTAATTATGTAAATATAGATGTATTTTATTTTATTTCAAACAAAATTTAATAAAATTTTAATCTGAACATAAATTACAAAAATATAATCTATAAATGTGTTATTGAAGATTGCAGAAGTAACAGCAACGATTGGTTGAACTTTGTCAAATACGCCAAATCGACTGAGAATTTTGTAGGTGAAAGAAACGATAGGGATTTTTCTTCCAAATTCCGTACATATATAATAAAATGTATCGAGTAATATTCACCTGTGGCATCCCCATTACATTTCCGGGAAAGTAGGCATTGAAATATTGTTGGTCGGTTAAAGATACACCTGCCGGCGGCTTCATCCATCCCGTCAGCAAGGAAAATAAATAATTCTTTCCGTTTCTTTTAGTGAAAATCATGTAGGTCAAGTCCGGTGGATAGGCACCGAAATTTGCCGCTTTGGCCTCTTCGTCGTTCGAATAAGGAAGTGGCAATAAGTCGGACAATTTTCCGGGTCTCGTATAATATTCTCCCTCTTCATCCGGTCCATCTTTAATCTGCACGTTTTGACATTATATCATTCGATAAAACAAGATTCTTTTGATTTAATACGACACATTTTACATTAAACATGAGAAATGAATATATAATTTGATAATACACACAAATCATTCATCCATGGATTAACTTTATTGAATAATCTCATAAAACATGAAATTTTTCTAATCATTTTCAAAACTTTTTTTAGAAGTATATTATTTATTTTCTTTTCTGATTTATGTAAGCTACGAGAGAATTTATTCTTATATACTGGTCTGTATCTTTTCTTTCTTTTTTTTTTTTTTTTGCTTTGTTATTATTTGATGAATTTTTGAAACATTCAATAATACCGTATAATGACATATATCTCGCGCTATACATATACACGAAGTTAATCTGATTTTTGCGTGGGCGGGAAACGTTTCTTCTTCAAGCCAGGCTTATAATTGAATTATGCGTCATATCGTACAACGTGGAAGTCAATTACGAGAGAGTTGCGAGGAGGAAATATAATAGTAGCGGCTCGCGAAATAAATTCGGGCCTGCCATCTACCTCGTACTCGGCGGCGATGGCCTTGACCTCGTCCTCCGTATGCGACACGTCGATCAGATCCATGAATCGTACGTAGCGCAGACTGTGGCACGCGTAACACACGGTCTTGTAGACCTGCCATCCTCGTCGGACGGCCGAGTGGTCCAGGGATGTGAATAAACCATTCAAGTCCCAGGGATAGCTCGGCAGGTGCGCGACTCGTTCTCCGGCTCGAACCGATCGGTCCAGGAAATATAAAAGCGCTCCGCAGGTGGCACTCACGCCCACCAGTACGCCCAGACTTTTCTTCAGGATGCCCCTCCATCCACGCGACCATCCAATATCGTTGCACCACGTGTAAAGACGATTGGATTCATGCTGTCGCCTAGACGAGCGTTTCGTTCGTAATGGAAAATAGTTTCTTGTCAACAGCGTAGCCATTTTTTTCTCGAATGACAGTCTTTCGAGAGGGACAATCGATGCCGTGAGTTGAAGATCTGTAGATATATAGGATGTCGCATAATGTGGAAAGTAGTATATACACAAGAGAGAACTTTATTTTAGAATTAAATGAAAATCAGGATAATTATGAGACAATTTATTAGAGTTTCTCTGATTAATATTTACATCACGATAAAAAATATTATTTATCCACAATAAGACATAAATATGTTTGATTAATTTTATTACGTATATTGTTAATATTTTTTATTATGGTAAATATTAATCAGAGGCTTTTATAAAATTCTTTCATATTATCTGTCCCACGATTATCATAATTTTCAAGATAAATTCTAAGAGAAAATTCTCTCTCGTACAATCCCCAATGAATTTTTATTATTCTAGGATTGTTCTAATTTCTTGATAAATTTTACCCGACAGATAGCTTATATATGTTCGTCCTTTTTTTTTAAATTTATCTGAAAGGAAACGAAGATATATGTTATCTGTCAGGTGAAATTTATTAATAAGTTGGAACAACCGGCCCAAATGTATTTTAATTGAAGTTGATTCTATTTCTATATCTGATCTTAATTTGCTTCCGTTCTTATCTGTCGTAATCTCAAAAGATTTAGAAATTATTTTGAATTTTGATTGACTCGAAAAAAATTTTTAAATATAAATTATCAATGGATGAAAAAGATATATAAAAACGCACAAATTTCGCCAGAAAAAAATCATTTACCAAGAGGGTGAATATTATTACTGCTTTCAGATAATGACTATGGGGATTTTTTTCATTGTAATAGCGTGCAAAAAATAATTACAAACGATAATTGAATCCACTTACCATTTTCGATATATTTTTAGAGTCGGCAAGAGAGGAAGAGATTCTCTCGTCTCATCCATCAATTTATGGGTTGCCGGACTACACCCACTATGCAACCGCGTGCATATGCCGAGAGAGAGGATGTTGCAACGGTCTATAATTAGAGATATTCGCGTCCCAGTATCGTAAATACTCGGCTTGGCCAACGTTTCGAGTGGCACCCCGGTTCAAGGGAGAAAAGGGGGCTACCTACGAGAGTAAAAAGGCATCGGATCCGCTTCGTGCCGTTTTCGAAAACTGCAGGCGTGGGTGGTCATTTAGACAAGATGCACTCGACTTTCTTCGAGTGCATCCAATAGAGAGGCCAGATCTACGTGATGTTTACTCGGTGAATCTAATCCGATTGAGATTCGATTTAATACGAAAGACTTGCACGATAAGTGTTTTGTTATGCGTTTATTTATAACTTTTTTTATCTCAAAAACAAGTTTCTGCGTCGCATTCTTGCTGAAACGTCACAACTGTATATCTTATCGAGATCTGATTTTGTTTGTAAGTGATATTTAATTTTTAGGAGCACTCGAAAAATAGATGATATGGAGAAGGTTTTGAATCTATTTTGCTATATTTCAACATTAACTTGCAAGTAATGCTACTATATTTACACATCGCGCTAAGTAATCTAATCGCACTCTTCAATATCGTGTAACGATGAAATACATTCGTTGGATATTTACGTCGTTTGTTTTACGATCGCTATAAATGAATGCGATCGTGTGAAATCCGCAGCTTCTGCCACACGATTAACGATACACGTGCGGTTTATTTTACGAGGTATTGGAATCGAAGTCGCAGAAAGTCAAGTCGAAGTGATCCGGTCAAGTTGATTCTGACGTCGCGTTTGTATCGTAAATCCAAGTTAGACTCTCGTCGGTCACGTACGCAGTAAAAAAATATTAGCTACCACAGCTGAACTTTAGGTGTCTCTTTATATTAAATCTGAAATTTAATCATCACGTTTAATTATCACTTTAGCTACGGTAACTAATATTTTTAACTGGGAATTTTCTATTAAATTATAGCTGAAAAATATTAAAATACAAAAAAATATTAGTTACCGCAGCTAAATTTTAAGTGTCCCTATATGTATATGTATCTGAAATTTAATTATTATGTTTAAACTTTAGCTACGAATAACTAATATTTCAACTGGGAATTTTCTACTAACAATAAATTATAGCTTAAAAATATTAGAACACAGAAAAAAAGATTAGCTACCACAACTAAGTTTTAGATGTCCCTATATCTGAAATTTAATTATCATATGTCTAAATCTTTTCTACGACAACTAATATTTTTAACTGGGAATTCTTTACTAAATTATAGCTTAAAAATATTCAGTTATCATATAGCTAAAATTGAGGCATGTAATGATTAAAATTCAAGCGTAATACAGGAACATCTAATCTTCAATAATAACTAATTATTTGTTTCCACGGAAAAACATCATGATTCACGAATAGACACGTGCGGATGTTTCTCCGGTGTTACGTCGAAAATTGACATTTCCTGTCATTGCATATCTGCACCATGCTTAGGTGTCGCGAATTCTCAAAGCAGAAGAAAAAAGAACGTAGGAGGAAGTAAAAAAAGAGAGAGAGAGAGGAAAAGAATAGAGAAAGAGAGAGATGCAACAAGAGTGCATATTATCGTCGCCTATCATACTATCGTGCAATTATGTTACACAACGTCGTTACACAACGGCGTTTTACAATAAAGGCACAAACCCGGGTGTATTTCCGCACTGCGTTATAAATAAACCACTCGGTTATGCTTGGCCATTATGCATGCGCATATTGGCGACGTAACCACCGCGCGCGTTACGCCCGCGTGTGCATATATGCGCGCGCATGCACACGCATCGCAGAACGGACACGGCGGGGTGTAATGGCACAACCCGAAGGCGCATCCTGCCGACTCGAGAATATAATCGCTAAAATGATCTTTCCCTAGTGTACTTACGAGGCGCAAGGAGAGATTTGGGCCGTCGCGTTTTACGATTGTCTGCGCCGCACGCATTTAACTCTTTAATGCACCTTCCCGAGGCTGTTTCGCGCGTTTTACGCCTCCTAAAACGCATCTCTTTCTCTCTCTTTCTCTTTTTGTCGGCCTCTTTGCGTCGATTTTCCGCGCTTTTCCCGTCTGTTTTCGTCTCCTGAATTTTTTTGTCATTTCTATACGGACAGAATTTTCAATTTTCTCTTTCAGTTTACTCTGAAAATCACGGTAATCGTAAGACAATATAATATTGGAAAAATTTTATAAGGGATTCTCTGATTAAATATTTACCACAATAAAATATTAATATGTATATAGTAAAATTAATCGAACATATTTTATATCTAATTGTGTAGATATTAATATTTTTTATTGTGGTAAATATTAATCAGAGAAACTCTTATAAAATTCTTCCAATACCATATTGTCTCATGATTACCATGATTTTCAAGGTAAATTCTAAGAGAAAATTCTCTCTGTGTATGTTTCAATTATGCCCTTCTTTTTTCTCGTGCTTTTGCCGCGATTGTTCTTTGTGATGTCGATACATTTTGCACGCGGAGATTATTTTCATCGGCTCTTACGGACGAATTATTTGAAAATACTTTTACCAATAGTTAATTTTTTTCAACAATGTTCTATTAAATTTAATTAGATGGCGCGACATGTTTGTTGCAATATATTTTGCATCTTTCTGGAAAAAAAAGTATTCAAGTTCTGTTTTAAAATTAAATTGTTTATTTTTCTTTCGGAGAAAAGCAAACGATTCTTATCAATAAAATATGTCAATATACGATTTCTTCTATATCTTTGTGATATTCTCTCATCTTGATTAAACTTATCTATAAGTTCTAATAAATGGAAAAGATTCTAGTTCAAGATAAAAACAAGGTAATACAGTATTATTTTATATGTTACTGAAATCAAGATATATAAGAGATACTCAAATGTTTCCTAATCAACTGAAGATGGTCTAAAAGAAGGACCAAGATGTTCCATTTAAATAGAGAAGTATTTTTTCTAACAAAATTGTTGCGCGCCTAATTTCTGCTATAAAAAAAGCTCTCATTAACCCGTTTACATCTTGAATTTGTAGTTATCTAAAAAAATTGGTAATTTATAAGAATTTCTGAATACAAAACGGTGATATTAAAAGGACGTAAGAATAAGATTGAGTTGAAGGATTTTGTCCGATTTTCATCTGATCGCGCGGTCACTCGGCGACTACGAATAGCCGTCGAGCCGAAGTTAGGCGGCCCGGTGCATAATTAATCAATTCGCTCCTTTCCAGAAGCGAAGATTGCGGTTGATTGAAAATCGATGCGAGCCGTATTCACCTTCGTTCTCTCGGCCGTGTCCCGATACCGAATAAAAGGACCGTTTATTTTTGAGACCTTTAAGCACATCACCGACGCGAAAGAAAGATACGTTCGAATATCGCCATTGCCGTATCGTCTCTTGCATAATTGATCCTCGGGGTATAGATAGGGTAATATGGTATCGTGGTCTCTCGCGGCGCGACGGTCAATACACTGTTGAATAATTGACGTATGGTCGCGTTCTCCATTTATTTTCTCGCGGAGAGCATTTTCGCTCTCCCGATTAAGAAGGGAGGGAAAAAATCGCGCTAAAAAAAGAGAAAGATAGAAAAAATTATAGAATCGCCAAACACCGATTAATAACCAAGGCGTCGATTAATCGAGGTTGAACTTCGCCGAATCGCGTTAAAATTGTTTCTCGGCGCGGCCGGGAAGAAGGGAAAAAGGAAACCGAACGAGCGAAATTATATCGCGACACCTCGGAGACCGAGCGCGGTTCATTATTAAACACGCGCCGAGGCGGTCGAGTGATTTCGCGAGTTTAATTCGGTCCACCGTCGCCGGGAGTCGAGCGATTAGTTTGTCGATCGAGCTTCGTTATCCTCCCACGTCTCGCATCTCTCTGTTTCTATATGTCATCTTCTTAGACGATAGTCTCCGCATTTGTGTTTTCACGCTGGCTTTGAACGCACGAGGGGCATAATTTTCGCGGTTGGAATAGAACTGGCCGGTTCGTCGCGTCTCTTCGTCGTCTTCGTCGTCGTTGTGGTGTGAGTATCGGCTACAAATACATTTCGCATAATAATAATAACGATCCGTGTGCCGTTACTCGTCTAATAATAGATGGGATAGTATCGATCGACACCGCGACTCGAAAAGACGATATCTTGTCGCGTTACCCTCCCATCCGCCGCCATCTCGCCGCGTAATCTCGGCTATTCGCGTTCGACGTCGCGCAACCAGCGGTTTTACAGACGCGATTAATTATTTCCTTACAGACGACGATTATTGGAATTCTCTTTCCTCGAGAATGCACCCTGTCTCTCGATTTCAGACTTTCCGCTCGCGCCGACGTTCTGTCGTTGTCTGTATTTTTGTAATAATATTATTAGTTGAAGAATTTGACGTGAAAAATAATCGTTTACTAATAGCTGCAGAAAACGAGAATTATTCTTATTATACACAGAGAGAATTTTCTCTTAGAATTTATACAAAATATTAATATATGGATATTAATATTTTTTAAAATATTAATATATGGATATTAATATTTTTTATTGTGGTAAATATTAATCAGAGAAACTCTTATAAAAATTCTTCCAATATCAAACACTATCCCACAGTTATCATGATTTTTGGGGTAAATTTTAAGAGAAAATACTCTCCGTGTATTTTCCCTCTCTTTATTTGAAATAATTTAATTATTATTTATTTGAAAAAAGGATAAAATATATTTTTCATACACCTATATTTTGAATATATTTTTATAAATGGTATTTTTTCGCCTTGAAAATTTTTATTGACGAAAAAGTGAGTATAGTATGAGTCAACATTTTTACAAATAATTCGAAATAAATTTGTATTTTTTTTTTTTTTTTTACCAGAAATGGGAATTTTTTCTTATTTGTGAATATTATCGTTCTGATCGTACATGTTTTGACTCTCTCTTCTGAATTAATCCGGGAATCGCGAATAATGTAATTCCGAAATAACGCGGCGGCGATAAAAACGGATCAATTCGTCCTCGAGCGGAGCTCGTATCGTGCGGCATCTTTATCGGCCGGCCGGCTTATCGAGCCTGTTCCACTTACATCTTTTTAT